CTTCCATGTTTGACGGATGCATAAAAATATGCCCCACCTCAGACAAACTGATATCTCGTCTATATGACGCTTTTCAATCTGTTAGCGCACCCTCTACAGATGCCATTAAGGCAAAATGGGAGGAAGAACTAGGGACGGATATTTCGGTGGCAGACTGGGAGGATAGCTTGGAGTATATCCACACCTGCTCCATTAACTCCAGACACCGTCTCATACAATTTAAGGTATTACACAGATGACACTATTCCAAAACTAAACTGCATAGGATATTTCCTGATCCATCCCCTATGTGTGATAAATGTCAGGCTGAGCAGGGTCCACTACTCCACTGCTTTGCCCTATGCTCTAGCCTGTATGGTTATTGGTGTGGAATATTTGGGGTCCTCTCTGAAGTTCTGGAGACTTCAATAGACCCAGACCCGCTTCTGATAATCCTGGGAGTGTCCGACTCCCTAAACGGATTAACCAACTCCCAAAAACAACTCATCTCTTACAGTCTCATTTCGGCAAAAAAATGTATCTTGTTGTTTTGGAGAAGGAGGGAAGCGCCCTCTACCAAATTATGGCTCAGCGAATTGGCAAACACTGTACACTTAGAAAGAATTAGATATATTCTGAACAATAAATTATCAACATTTGATCAAATCTGGCAGCCTTTCCTCTCTTACCTGGACCAGTCGGTGCTGTGAATTTGTACTTTTTAACGCACTCTCAATTGTCATATTGTAATCTACCTTTGGGCAGCGTGTGCGGGAGGGGAATAGGGTGGGGGGGGGGGGGGGGGGGGGGGTAAAGGGGGGGATAAGGGGGGGGGTTACATCTACCCTTTTTCTTTCTACCTGTCCCTGTTCTGTATGTCGTGTTTTGTAATATTTGTTTTGTGTCCAGAACTCTGGGTCTTGTTGTTCATGTCTGTTCTCTTATGTTTAGATAAGAACTGTACACATGTCTTTCATACCTATACACCATTCTTGTGTGTGTTCAATACTTATGTAAAAATATTATATTTTTTAATACATTCGCAAAAATGTCTACAATCCTGTTTTTGCTTTGTCATTATGGGGTATTGTGTGAAGATTGATGAGGGAAAAAAACTATTTAATCAATTTTAGAATAAGGCTGTAACGTAACAAAATGTGGAAAAAGATAAGGGGTCTGAATACTTTCCGAATGCACTGTAGTATAGTTTTTGTCATAACTGACCTGTGTATTTGACCAAGGTGCGTCCGGTGGAGATCTCCCAGAGTTTGGCGACCGAGTCTTTCCCAGTGGAGAGGACGTACTTGGAGTTCTTAGAGAAGACAGCGGAGCAGACCTCCGCCCCGTCATGAGCCTTATCAAACGTCATCACACAGCGGTTAGACACGCCGTCTCCGTCCTTACTGCACGTCACGTAGCTGGAAAACAGAATAAATCAAATCAAATGTTATTTGTCACATACACGTGTTTAGCAGATGTTATTGCGGGTGTAGCGAAATGCTTGTGCTTCTAGCTCCGACAGTGCAGTAATATCTAACAAGTAATATCTAACAAGTAATATCGAATAATTTCACAACATATACCCAATACACACAAATCTAAGTAAGGAATGGAATTTAAGAATATATACATATATGGACAAGAAATCAGAGGGTCAGGGGTTAGGGTCGTTGGGGTTAAGGTCAAGGGTCAGGGGTTACCTGTTAGCATTAGGGTTGTAGCTAACTCCACTGATGGTGTCAGTGTGTTGGTCTATAGGGTTAGGGGTCAGGGTTACCTGTTAGCATTAGGGTTGTAGCTAACTCCACTGATGGAGTCAGTGTGTTGGTCTATAGGGTTAGGGGTCAGGGTTACCTGTTAGCATTAGGGTTGTAGCTAACTCCACTGATGGAGTCAGTGTGTTGGTCTATAGGGTTAGGGGTCAGGGTTACCTGTTAGCATTAGGGTTGTAGCTAACTCCACTGATGGAGTCAGTGTGTTGGTCTATAGGGTTAGGGGTCAGGGTTACCTGTTAGCATTAGGGTTGTAGCTAACTCCACTGATGGAGTCAGTGTGTTGGTCTAGAGGGTTGCAGGAGACGAAGCATTGGAAGGTGTTGACGTCGTAGAGGCGGAGGGTCGGGTGCTGCGTCCCCACCAACAGGAAGTCGCCTGACGGGTGGAAAGAGATGGACCGCAGCATCTCGGCTTCCTGCGGGGAGGAGACACACATGCATCACTTCCTGCGGGGAGGAGACACACATGCATCACTGTTAGTGACATGACACAGATCTGTGTAGATCTAATCTTTGTTAACCAATAAAGGTGTTTGATAATCAGAGTGTGAGGTGCTATTTCAGGATATCCTGGTGGGTTAGGAAGAACTCACAGCCCTAAAAAAACAACGTTTAACTCTGCCTATAACGCACCTGTGCGTGTTTGAAGGCCCTCTTGGCAGAGGGCTTGGAGTAGTCGAAAAGTTTGAGGGTGTAGTCACGTGACCCTGATGCCAGGATCTGTTCCGTGGGGTGGAACGCCAGACACGTGACCTCATCCACGTGGTCGTACAGTGTTCTGATCACAGGGTGGTTCTCCATGTTCTGCTGGGCCGTCTCATTCATCATCACCTAGAACACACAGGAACATTTTTTACATTGTCTGCAGAACAGTGTTCTGTTCACCGGGCTCTGGACAAAAGTAGTGCACTACGCAGGGAATAGGATGCATCCTGATTAGTGCACTACACAGGGAATAGGATGCATCCTGATTAGTGCACTACGCAGGGAATAGGATGCATCCTGATTAGTGCACTACACAGGGAATAGGATGCATCCTGATTCTCTGCACCTCCAGTCATGGATTTAACAACGGTGGAAACTCCAAGCCAATACTTTTTAATCCATGAGTGTCAAGTGTACAATTTAGGAGAAGGGTGAAGAATTGGGACTTAGCCCATGCCAGACATAGCCTCCTCTGCATCTCACCTCTATGGGCGCTCTTGGCCAGCATGCGTTCTGTGTCCAGGACTTTGATGGAGGCGTCTGCCGAGCCCGTAGCGATGAGCTGCCCGTCCCGGCTGTATGTGGCGACACGACAGGGACCTTTATGGGACGTCACGTAGCAAGTCTCGTACTCAGACGCCTCGGGGGACATGCTCTGGACGTCAGCGTCAAACTCCAGGTCGATGCCAACGCCCGGAGCCTCCATGTCAGACCGCCCGATGGCATACTGCACCGTACTGTTGTCATTCTCCATGCCTGGGGATGAACAGCGCAATACAGTTGATTAAAAAACTCTGTGGCACAACACCGTAGACAGGTTGCTAGCATACTGCACTGTCGCCATTCACAATGCAAGATTGATAGATGAAATGATGGAGCAATACACAGTTCCAACCCAAAACAGTGACACTGCAGACATGTAACTAGTATCCTGATATGGACCCTGGAGTAGGTAAAAGTATCCTATAAACACTGACTGATCTAACGTGAGTTCTGCAGTTGGTTGAGGTTAGGATTTGTGGAGGAACTGTGCCTAGAGACATTGTCAAAGCAATAGATTGTTAACCCACCCCACTCACTCACCCATCTTTTTTGGCCATAATTAGCCCCTTGACCAGGGATCGTCAACTAGATTCAGCCGAAGGGCCGGAACAGAATTACAAATCATTTGTAGACTGCAAGAAGCCCAAACAGATATAATATTTGACTATAACAATAATTTCAATCCTTGCTTACATTTGTATATGATCATGTCTCTCTATTATGCGCGGGAATACTTGGGAAAAGATTTCCAAAATTAAATCACTTGGAGCTGATTTCCTGGTGCTTTTAGTCTTTTATGTCAAACAATGAAAATTCCACCAAAGATTTTTTCTCAGAAAACTTGGGGGGCCAAATAAAACCGCCCGGGCCGCCAGTTGGGGAACCCTGCCCTAGACAGTGATCTAACCTAATGGCTTAGGTAAGGGTCTATGGAAATCAACCCTAGACCAACGCCTATCCAGAGACGGTAGTAACCCCCCCACTCACCTATCTTGGCCAGCTAGTAACCCCTATCTTGGCCAGCTAGTAACCCCTATCTTGGCCAGCTAGTAACCCCTATCTTGGCCAGCTAGTAACCCCTATCTTGGCCAGCTAGTAACCCCTATCTTGGCCTAGGGTTAAGAGTTAGTACAACCCCCCCCCCACTCACCTATCTTGGCCAGCTGCATGAGGTTTTCTGAGGGCGACAAGACGCTTTGCGGCTTGACCTCTGTGATCAGGTTGTTAGCCATGTTGGTGTAACCATCATACAACAGCTGGCTGATGATCAGCCGGTAAAGGTGCTGGCGGTCCTGAAGTGTCGGTTTGGGACGATACATCTCGGCTCAGGCTTCAATGGGACGAGTACAACTTGGCTACAATGGATCAAAACATGGTCAGCATTAGTTGCTATCAATACGGTTTTTATTATCGACTTGTACAGCTAGCTAGCTCACTATCATGCGACTGTTATCAAAACCATCCACAACGCCATACATCGGTTATCTATCCTACAATGCGAGATAGTTAAACTTAGTTATTAGCTAGCAAAGTACAGTAGCTATCTACAACAAAACAATTCGTGAGTGACAATCACATTACAACCACAAATCTTAGGCCGGGAAAAGCATCATGTAAACGGTGAACAAGCACCTTATGTTTGCAATAATAACTTGCACCGACCGAGTTTAGGGAAGTAAAATAAAATACGTTATGTTCAATGAATGAAATAACTTTCATTTAGCTAGCTACAGTAGCTAGCTGAATGAAATAACTTTCATTTAGCTAGCTACAGTAGCTAGCTATCCCAACATTGTGCAAACTTCGACTGCACCAAACGTACGCTTACGTACAACACAACAAGACTATCAAACTGGTTAGCGGCGCTGCGCTTTACGTCACTTACGTTACGCCTCATATCTGTGCGTCTCTACGTAACAAGGCGTGTGCTCGTTCACGACTTTCAACATGGCGACGGGCATCAAGTCAACTTTTAACAACTAAACAATAGCAGAATACTATGGCTGCAGTTGAGGAGGCAGTTCTCATCGGACTGTGTGATGGGGCAATCGATTCCAAGCGATATCCGACGTCTTACTTGACGAACAAAATTGGCGACCAACCGGACAAGCTTCCAGTGATATCATGGCAACATCCCCGCTGTGGTCTATGCAACGCTGCCCTGGCCCATGTGGTGCAGGTGTACTGCCCACTGGCGGCGTCTCCCTACCACCGCACCCTGAATGTGTTCGCCTGCCCCGGGCAACAGTGCAGCGGACAACCAGATAGCTGGAGGGTTCTGCGTTCTCAGTGTCTGGAATCAGAGGTCAGAACCAACCCTGTGGTCCAACCATCAGGCCACGCCCCAGTTAAAGAGGTTCCCATGACAACCACATACTGGTGTGATGGGACTGATGACTGGGGCGAGGAAGAGGGGGAGGGAGATGGATGGGACAAGGCCCAGAACCAGGCTCATATGGAGGGAGGGGACCCTGACCCTGACCCTGAGATCCTCTTGCCCACCGGGACCTCCTCTGAGGTGGATGTGAGTGGCAAGTTTCAGGATCTCAGTCTGGAAGTTGGAGAGGTGGAGGAGGAAGGGGAGGTTCTGGGTAACATCCCCACCTACAGACCTTTCTACATCAGTGTGGTGGAGGAGACTGACCTGGGTGATCAGTCAGACCTGGAGCACGCTGAGAGCCTGCTGAGGGAGTACAAGCAGAGAGAGGGAGTAGAGAATATGGGGAGCTCCGAGGGGGGAGGAGGGGAGGAGAAGTACGAGAAGGGTAACCCCAGACATGGAGACGCAGCGTTCTCCCGCTTCATGAAGAGGATCTCTCTTTGTCCGGAGCAGGTGTTGCGGTACAGCTGGCACGGGTCTCCTCTCTTCTTGTCTGACCCCCCCTCGGACCTGCCTTGGATTAAACCTGGCTGCTGTCACTGTGGAGGAATCAGGGTGTTTGAGTTCCAGCTGATGCCTGCTCTGGTCAGCCTGCTACAGAGGACAGACGCAGGTGCAGGGAGAGGGTCGAGGTCGGCGGTAGAGATGGAGACGGGGCTGGAGTTTGGTACAGTGATGGTGTTTACCTGTAGAAACAGCTGTTGGTCGTCAGGCTCAACCTCACCTGTGGAAGAGTTCATCTATCTACAGGCAGATCCAGACCAGAAACTCTTCAAATAACTGACTCATTAACCACGTTTCCATCCAGTTTTTATGCGAGTGAAGTCATACCTTATTTAAAAAAACCATGCGACAGCTGTGATGGAAACAGGAAGTTTCGATACAATTATGACGTTTTGATAACATGTGATAAATGCGGACAAATCATTTTTCCGTTCGACATGGTGGGATGTTTTTGAAATGGTGGTGGAAACACCTTTTTATCCACAAATATTGGTATAATACCCATCATATGGAAGTAAACTTGAAGTCATGTGATGATATGGTGTGTGGTCCTCCCACTACGACTCAGGAAAGCATGCAGTTTATTAGGCTACTGATGAAATAAGTTATGATGAACTTCACAGGGTGGTGAAAGGGCACGGTGATGAGCTTGATGCTCTTTTCCAATAAATATCGAGGGTCTTATTCTGGTGCCATGATGATCGATGCTTGACTGCTGTTTGACAAATACAAATATTACGCTCTTCTCCATAATAATCTCATCATGTAGACTAGCCCACCTTCACAGCCTACCTGCTCCGAGCTGTTGGCCAGAGCGCAGGTGCCAAGACCAGAGGAGGTACATTTGCTATTTAACGCAATAGTTTTTGTGACAAAACTATCAGTAGAGTGGAAAATGCGATGGAAACACATTTAACTTTATATGTTTATTCGGTACATGAAAACTTTTAAGATGCACTATGCAGAAATCGCTCCACCATTTCCTGGTTGCAAAACATTAGAATAGTTCGCCTAATTTCAGTTTATGTGACAAAACAAGCAAGTACAGTGTAGAGAATCATTGTACCATCTAAACCGCTGTGAAATATATTTTCTATAACCAAAATATTATATTTGAAGCTGTTTGAAGCTGGTGTACAAAACCGAAAGCTAAAGACGCAAAAATGAAATTTAAGCATGGGAAGCATAGAAATAGCGCACATAGAACAGATCTACCACCTCTTAGACTGGCTGTCAATGAGAATGACAGATCTATAACTTACATTTCTATGTGAATTTGGTCAGGTCGCCCAACAAGTTACAAATTGCAGCTATAAGCGAAACATAATGTTTTTGTGTTCAGTACGACGTCACGTTCAGATTTTTATCCGCATGAAGTCCGTTTGTTGGAAACACCACTAGTGGGAAAATGCACATATTTTCTTTATGCAGATTTCACCTATTGGATGGAATAACTTTGTAATGAAAGAATAAAGATGTTTCTTGCTTTGGTTTGGAAAGAATAAAGAATCCAGAAAGTGATACATTGTTTGCCAAAGAGTCTTTCATTTTATAGTAGTATTTATCACTAGAGAAATAATGTATAAAATAAAAGGGCATGAGTAAGAACTGAAGAACATTCTCATGATTATTTTCGCTACCTTGGCTACATTATAGAGAAACTATGTAATGAAACATAGAATCCATAGGAGGGCGCTGACATCCCAGCAGGTGACATTGAGTTCTATAGTTGCCATGGCGCCCTAATAGCAGCCTAAGCACAGAGCTCCTGTAAATGTGAACATATTGTAACGACCTGCACAGACAGCTGTGTGTTATGCTGTTCGTTTGTTGTGTTCACGGGGTCCGACATTCCAGTCAACCTGCTATCTGCCAACCAAGGGAATGCCTGGAATGTTCTGGGGTTGGCAGGGGTGTGGAGCGGCGGGTGGGGGGGTTGGCAGGGGTGTGGAGCGGTGGTTGGGGGGGGTTGGCAGGGGTGTGGAGCGGTGGTTGGGGGGGGGTTGGCAGAGGTGTGGAGCGGTGGGTGGGGGGGGGGTTGGCAGAGGTGTGGAGCGGTGGGTGGGGGGGGGGGGGGGGGGGGGGGGGGGGGGGTGGGTGGGGGGGGGGTTGGCATCACTAGTTTAAGACCATGCTTAGCCATTGTTCTCTCTCTTACGTCTGTTCTTAACAAGAGGTGGTCACGGTTGTTTTATACTGTTATCCTTGATTTATTTGGCGTGGGCTACGGCCAAACAGTAACCTGGGTTGAGTTTGGTTAATAAACTGGGAATTCGTCAACTCAAACCTCTGTCTGGACAATTGTTCATTTATGATCTAGCCAGGTCATTACAATATTTAGTTATATTTAGGTGTTTTTCATTGTTTATTAATCAGCTCTTTTGTTTTTGATAACGTCAAGTTTTTATTTCATATATCTGGTGTTTTTGAGCCACAGATTTGCAGGTTGACTGACAGGTCAACACTTTTTGGCTTGGCTAGCTGGCTTTTGTTTGAAAAATGCATCTGGACACAGTACCATCTTTTTTTGTTTCACCTGGCTGCCAATTCCATATCTTTTGAGAACATCATTTGAGGAGTCACCTGAAGCGTGAGAGGAACGGTAGACAGAGGAATTACTGCAGCGCTGAGACAGAGGGCTCGTAATGAGGACGTCTGGCTACTACTCTGAACAGAGGGCTCGTAATGAGGACGTCTGGCTACTACTCTGAACAGTGATCTTTCTGGCGCCCAGAGCTGCTGAGTGGGTGCTACACAGAGTGGAAGAGTCTGTCCCGTGGCCACATGAGTCAGGCTGGTTCCCAGACTTGCCCTCTACATGAGCATCAGCAGACTCCATCACCGTCATCTACCGTCCTCTGACCAAATCTCTCTGCTCAAGCCATGAACCATCTTCAGATGAAGCAGCTTTCGAAGACTTGGCGTCTATCGGTTGACCAGTCATGACATATTGCTTTTTTTTGTGTTTTTTTTTGCTCTTGAAGTGCTTTGAGGTTCTATGAAAAGCACTATAGAAATGTACTAAATGATAATTATTATTGTTGTACAGTCAACTGGGCGGTGTGGTCTACTGTACAATCTTCACCTTTCTGGCTTTGTTTTGGTATTTCTCTGAATGTAATGTAGCCTCTATGTGGGGAAATGAGAGGCTGATATGTGAGGACACATAGACTGAGTCCCAAATGGCACCCTATCCCTATTCCCTATATATAGTGCACTACCTTTGATATAGAACCATATGGGCCCTGGTCAAAAGTAGTGCACTATATAGGGAACATGGTGCCATTTGGGATGCAGTTATAATGTACATTGAAATGGTCACGCACAGAGGAAACCTGAAGATGCTGCTTTCCACAATGTCATTCATAATGCAGAAGGACATTTTTAGATTGTACTGTATTTATTATGGCTCCTCATTAGTTCCTGCCAAGGCAGCAGCTACTCTTCCTGGGGTTTATTATGGATCCCCATTTAGTTCCTGCCAAGGCAGCAGCTACTCTTCCTGGGGTTTATTAAGGATCCCCATTAGTTCCTGCCAAGGCAGCAGCTACTCTTCCTGGGGTTTATTATGGATCCCCATTAGTTCCTGCCAAGGCAGCAGCTACTCTTCCTGGGGTTTATTATGGATCCCCATTAGTTCCTGCCAAGGCAGCAGCTACTCTTCCTGGGGTTTATTATGGATCCCCATTAGTTCCTGCCAAGGCAGCAGCTACTCTTCCTGGGGTTTATTATGGATCCCCATTAGTTCCTGCCAAGGCAGCAGCTACTCTTCCTGGGGTTTATTATGGATCCCCATTAGTTCCTGCTAAGGCAGCAGCTACTCTTCCTGGGGTTTATTAAGGAGCCCCATTAGTTCCTGCCAAGGCAGCAGCTACTCTTCCTGGGGTTTATTATGGATCCCCATTAGTTCCTGCCAAGGCAGCAGCTACTCTTCCTGGGGTTTATTATGGATCCCCATTAGTTCCTGCCAAGGCAGCAGCTACTCTTCCTGGGGTTTATTATGGATCCCCATTAGTTCCTGCCAAGGCAGCAGCTACTCTTCCTGGGGTTTATTATGGATCCCCATTAGTTCCTGCCAAGGCAGCAGCTACTCTTCCTGGGGTTTATTATGGATCCCCATTAGTTCCTGCCAAGGCAGCAACTACTCTTCCTGGGGTTTATTATGGATCCCCGTTAGTTCCTGCCAAGGCAGCAGCTACTCTTCCTGGGGTTTATTATGGATCCCCGTTAGTTCCTGCCAAGGCAGCAGCTACTCTTCCTGGGGTTTATTACGGATCCCCATTAGTTCCTGCCAAGGCAGCAGCTACTCTTCCTGGGGTTTATTACGGATCTCCATTAGTTCCTGCCAAGGCAGCAGCTACTCTTCCTGGGGTTTATTACGGATCCCCATTAGTTCCTGCCAAGGCAGCAGCTACTCTTCCTGGGGTTTATTATGGATCCCCATTAGTTCCTGCCAAGGCAGCAGCTACTCTTCCTGGGGTTTATTATGGATCCCCATTAGTTTCCTGCCAAGGCAGCAGCTACTCTTCCTGGGGTTTATTATGGATCCCCATTAGTTCCTGCCAAGGCAGCAGCTACTCTTCCTGGGGTTTATTATGGATCCCCATTAGTTCCTGCCAAGGCAGCAACTACTCTTCCTGGGGTTTATTATGGATCCCCGTTAGTTCCTGCCAAGGCAGCAGCTACTCTTCCTGGGGTTTATTATGGATCCCCGTTAGTTCCTGCCAAGGCAGCAGCTACTCTTCCTGGGGTTTATTACGGATCCCCATTAGTTCCTGCCAAGGCAGCAGCTACTCTTCCTGGGGTTTATTACGGATCCCCATTAGTTCCTGCCAAGGCAGCAGCTACTCTTCCTGGGGTTTATTATGGATCCCCATTAGTTCCTGCCAAGGCAGCAGCTACTCTTCCTGGGGTTTATTATGGATCCCCATTAGTTCCTGCCAAGGCAGCAGCTACTCTTCCTGGGGTTTATTATGGATCCCCATTAGTTCCTGCCAAGGCAGCAGCTACTCTTCCTGGGGTCCTGCAAAATTAAGGCAGTTACAGTGGGGGAAAAAAGTATTTATTCAGCCACCAATTGTGCAAGTTCTCCCACTTAAAAAGATGAGAGAGGCCTGTAATTTTCGTCATAGGTACACGTCAACTATGACAGACAAAATGAGAAAAAGAAATCTAGAAAATCACATTGTAGGATTTTTAATGAATTTATTTGCAAATTATGGTGGAAAATAAGTATTTGGTCAATAACAAAAGTTTCTCAATACTTTGTTATATACCCTTTGTTGGCAATGACACAGGTCAAACGTTTTCTGTAAGTCTTCACAAGGTTTTCACACACTGTTGCTGGTATTTTGGCCCATTCCTCCATGCAGATCTCCTCTAGAGCAGTGATGTTTTGGGGCTGTCGCTGGGCAACACGGACTTTCAACTCCCTCCAAATATTTTCTATGGGGTTGAGATCTGGCGACTAGCTAGGCCACTCCAGGACCTTGAAATACTTCTTACGAAGCCACTCCTTCATTGCCCGGGCGGTGTGTTTGGGATCATTGTCATGCTGAAAGACCCAGCCACGTTTCATCTTCAATGCCCTTGCTGATGGAAGGAGGTTTTCACTCAAAATCTCACGATACATGGCCCCATTCATTCTTTCCTTTACACGGATCAGTCGTCCTGGTCCCTTTGCAGAAAAACAGCCCCAAAGCATGATGTTTCCACCCCCATGCTTCACAGTAGGTATGGTGTTCTTTGAATGCAACTCAGCATTCTTTGTCCTCCAAACACGACGAGTTGAGTTTTTACCAAAAAGTTATATTTTGGTTTCATCTGACCATATGACATTCTCCCAATCCTCTTCTGGATCATCCAAATGCACTCTAGCAAACTTCAGACGGGCCTGGACATGTACTGGCTTAAGCAGGGGGGCACGTCTGGCACTGCAGGATTTGAGTCCCTGGCGGCGTAGTGTGTTACTGATGGTAGGCTTTGTTAATTTGGTCCCAGCTCTCTGCAGGTCATTCACTAGGTCCCACCGTGTGGTTCTGGGATTTTTGCTCACCGTTCTTGTGATCATTTTGACCCCATGGGGTGAGATCTTGCGTGGAGCCCCAGATCGAGGGAGATTATCAGTGGTCTTGTATGTCTTCCATTTCCTAATAATTGCTCCCACAGTTGATTTCTTCAAACCAAGCTGCTTACCTATTGCAGATTCAGTCTTCCCAGCCTGGTGCAGGTCTACAATTTTGTTTCTGGTGTCCTTTGACAGCTCTTTGGTCTTGGCCATAGTGGAGTTTGGAGTGTGACTGTTTGAGGTTGTGGACAGGTGTATTTTAAACTGATAACAAGTTCAAACAGGTGCCATTAATACAGGTAACGAGTGGAGGACAGAGGAGCCTCTTAAAGAAGAAGTTACAGGTCTGTGAGAGCCAGAAATCTTGCTTGTTTGTAGGTGACCAAATACTTATTTTCCACCATAATTTGCAAATAAATTCATTAAAAATCCTACAATGTGATTTTCTGGAGAAAAAAAATTCTAATTTTGTCTGTCATAGTTGACATGTACCTATGATGAAAATTACAGGCCTCTCTCATCTTTTTAAGTGGGAGAACTTGCACAATTGGTGGCTGACTAAATACTTTTTTCCCCACTGTATATACAATTAAAAACATTTCACAACAGATTTCACAACATATTAAGTGTGTGCCCTCAGGCCTCTACTCTACTACCACATATCTACAACACAAAATCGATGTGTGTGTGTGTGTGTGTATAGTGCGTATGTTATTGTGTGTGTATGCATGGGTCTGTGCCTATGTTTGTGTTGCTTCACAGTCCCCGCTGTTCCATAAGGTGTATTTATATCTGTTTTTAAATCTGATTCTACTGCTTGCATCAGTTACCTGATGTGGAATAGAGTTCCATGTAGTCATGGCTCTATGTAGTACTGTGCGCCTCCCATAGTCTGTTCTGGACTTGGGGACTGTGAAGAGACCTCTGGTGGCATGTCTTGTAGGCTATGCATGGGTGTCCGAGCTGTGTGCCAGTAGTTCAAACAGACAGCTCGGTGCATTCAACATCTCAATACCTCTCACAAATACAAGTAGTGATGAAGTCCATCTCTCCTCCACTTTGAGCCAGGAGAGATTGACATGCATATTATTAATGTTTGCTCTCTGTGTACCTCCAAGGTCCAGCCGTGCTGCAGCGTGTGTCTGTGCCTGTGTCTCTTCACAGTAATTTTTCTTGGTCCCTCTTTGTGGCACCTGACCACACGACCGAACAGTAGTCCAGGTGTGACAAAACTAGGACCTGTAGGACCTGCCTTGTTGATAGTGATGTTAAGAAGGTAGAGCAGCGCTTTATTATGGACAGACTTCTCCCCATCTTGGCTACTGTTGTATCAACATGTTTTGACCATGACAGTTTACAATCCAGGGTTACTCCAAGCAGTTTAGTCTCCTGAACTTGCGCAATTTCCACATTACACGTTTTTGTTGAGGTTTAGGGTTTAGTGAATGATTTGTCCCAAGTATAATGATTTTAGTTTTTGAGACATTTAGGAGTAATTAATTTCTTGCCACCCATTCTGAAACTGCCTGCAGCTCTTTGTTAAGTGTTGCAGTGATTTCAGTCGCTGTGGTAGCTGTCGTGTATAGTGTTGAGTGATCCGCATACATAGACACACTGGCTTTACTCAGAGCCAGTGGCATGTCATTAGTAAAGATTGAAAATGGGGCCTAGACAACTGCCCTGGGGAATTCCTGATTCTACCTGGATTATGTTGGAGAGGCTTCCATTAAATAACACTTTCTGTGTTCTGTTAGACAGGTAACTCTCGATCCACAATACAGCTTCTACCCCCAAGCCATAAGACTTCTGAACAATTAATTAAATGGCCACCCAGACTATTTACATTGACACCCCCCTCCATTTGTTTTTACACTGCTGCTACCCGCTGTTTATTATCTATGTATAGTCACTTTACCCCTACCTACATGTACAAATTACCTTAACTAACCTGTACCCCCACCCATTGACTCAGTACCGGTACCCCCTGTATATAGCCTCATTATTACCTGGACTAACCTGTACCCCAGCCCATTGACTCGGTACCGGTACCCCCTGTATATAGCCTCATTATTACCTGGACTAACCTGTACCCCAGCCCATTGACTCAGTACCGGTACCTCCTGTATATAGCCTAAAAAAAAATACCCTAAATATTAAAGCTGACAGTCTGCACTTTAACCTCATAGTCATTGCATCATTTAAATTCCAAAGTGCTGGAGTACAGAGCCAAAACAACAATGAACTGAGCTGCAGGACAGGAAGGAAACTGCACAGGGATGTCACCATGAGGCCATTGGTGATTTTAAAACAGCTACAGAGTTTAATGTCTGTGAAAGGAGGATCATCAACATTGTAGTAACTCCACAATAATGACCTAAATGACAGAGTGAAAAGAACAATACAAATATACAGAATACAGAAAAAAAACAGCCAGGCCACCCGTGATAGAATTTAGTATTCGACGTCCATCCATGTCTGTGGACGTCGGGAGATTACGTGGAAACCGGCCACTAGGGGCATCAGTGAGCACTGTTACCTTCAAGTAGGTTTTGTGTGTGGTGGACAGGGATGGTCCCCTGGGGCCAGTATGAAAAATGTATGCACTCACTAACTGTAAGTCACTCTGGATAAGAGTGTCTGCTAAATGACTAAAATGTAAATGGTGGATGGGCATAAGCATCTGCCTCTGTTGCTAAAGGTTGCATGTTCAAATCCAGCGATATAAATAGTTTTTTAGATTTAGGTTTTAAGCCTATCCCAAACCTTTCTGAGTTAATGTCTAACCTTAAGACTACAGAGTTAACAGCCTAATTAAGACTACAGAGTTAACAGCCTAATTAAGACTACAGAGTTAACAGCCTAATTAAGACTACAGAGTTAACAGCCTAATTAAGACTACAGAGTTAACAGCCTAATTAAGACTACAGAGTTAACAGCCTAATTAAGACTACAGAGTTAACAGCCTAATTAAGACTACAGAGTTAACAGCCTAATTAAGACTACAGAGTTAACAGCCTAATTAAGACTACAGAGTTAACAGCCTAATTAAGACTACAGAGTTAACAGCCTAATTAAGACTACAGAGTTAACAGCCTAATTAAGACTACAGAGTTAACAGCCTAATTAAGACTACAGAGTTAACAGCCTAAACTTAACCTTAACATTTTACGTTTGGAACAACTTTGAAATGTTACGTTTGAGAAACATGGATGAACGTTTAATTCTGGTGTGAGACTGTGAGAGCTAGTTGAAGAAAATTCTCTAAAACGACGTTGGAGGCGGCTTATGGTAGAGAAATTAACATTCAATTCTCTGGCAACAGCTCTGGTGGACATTCCTGCAGTCAGCATGCCAATTGCACGCTCCCTCAAAACTTGAGACTTCTGTGGCATTGTGTTGTGTGACAAATATGCACATTTTAGAGTGGCCTTTTATTGTCCCCAGCACAAGGTGCACCTGTGTAATGTGCACCTTGAGACCAGCCACCCGGACAGCTGACGAAACTGGGGGTTTGCTCAACCGAATAATTTCTGCACAAACTGTCAGAAACCGTCTCAGGGAAGCTCATCTGCGTGGTCGTCGTCCTCACCAGGGTCTTGACCTGACTGCAGTTCGGAGTCGTAACCGACTTCAGTGGGCAAATGCTCACCTTCGATGGCCACTGGCACACTGGAGAAGTGTGCTCTTCACAAATGAATCCCGGTTTCAACTGACAGCAGACAGCGTGTATGGCGTCGTGTGGGTGAGCGGTTTGCTGATGTCAACGTTGTGAACAGAGTGCCCCATGGTGGAGGTGGGGTTATGGTATGAGGAGAAATAAGGTACGGACAACGAACACAATTGCATTTTATCAATACCAATTTGAATACACTGAGGCCCATTGACATGCCATTCATCCGCCGCCATCACCTCATGTTTCAGCATGATAATGCACAGCCCCATGTCGCAAGAATCTGTACACAATTACTGGAAGCTGAAAATGTCCCAGTTCTTCCATGGCCTGCAGACTCACCAGACATGTCACCAATTGAGCATGTTTGGGATGCTCTGGATCGACGCGTACGACAGCTTGTTCTAGTTCCCGCCAATATCCAGCAACTTCGCACAGCCATTGAAGAGGACTGGGACAACATTCCACAATCAACAACCTGATCAACTTCAAGACTTCCTTAAAGATGCATTATGCAGAAATTGCTCCACCATTTCCTGGTCTGCCTAGTTTCAGTTTGTGACAAAACAAGCAAGTATAGTGTAGAGAATCATTGTACCATCTAAACCGCTGTGAAATATATTTTCCATAACCAAAAATATTGTATTTTCAGCTGTTTGAAGCTGGTGGACAAAACCGACAGTAAAAGACGCAAAAAACAAACTTAAGAACGGGAAGCAAAGAAATAGCACATAGAACAGATCTACCACCTCTTAGACTTGCTGTCAATGAGAATGACAGATCTATTAAACACATTTCTATGTGACGCTGGTCAAGTCGCCCAAAAAGGGACATATTGCAGCTTTAATATTAGAGATTGCGCAGCAGCTGTTGTTAACAGAGATACACACCCCCTCCCCTGAGCTTCCCCGACGCCACCGTTCTGTCTTGCCAACGTATAGAAAAACCAGCTAGATTTATATTTACTATGTGCTTGTTCAGCCACGACTGGGAGAAACAGGATATTACGTTGATAGGATAGTCTCGAACGGAGCTCATCCAGTTTATTCTCCAGTGATTGCACGTTCGCCAATAGAACGGAGGGTAGAGGCCGTTTATCCACTCTCCGACGTAGTCTCGTCAGGTATCCCACACCCCGGCCTCTATAGCGCCGTCTCCTCCTTCTTAGAGTGTCGGGGATCTGGGCCTGCTCCGGGATAATCAATATGTCTTTTGTCTCCGACTCATTGAAGTAGAAGTCCCCCCTTACATAACCCTCCCCTTACATAACCCCCCCATAACCCTCCTCTGGACTAGATTTTTTTTTTTAAAGACTAAACCCTCCCCTTGACTGAAATTGAAAAAGCATGTCCAACTGAACCAACTGCTTGGCCTAAACCAACCGTCATCCTCAGTCAGCAGTGGGATGGCCAGACAGCTCCCCATAACCCTCCCCATCCTCAGTCAGCAGTGGGATGGCCAGACAGCTCCCCATAACCCTCCCCATCCACAGTCAGCAGTGGGATGGCCAGACAGCTCCCCATAACCCTCCCCATCCTCAGTCAGCAGTGGGATGGCCAGACAGCTCCCCATAACCCTCCCCATCCTCAGTCAGCAGTGGGATGGCCAGACAGCTCCCCATAACCCTCCCCATCCTCAGTCAGCAGTGGGATGGCCAGACAGCTCCCCATAACCCTCCCCATCCTCAGTCAGCAGTGGGATGGCCAGACAGCTCCCCATAACCCTCCCCATCCTCAGTCAGCAGTGGGATGGCCAGACAGCTCCCCATAACCCTCCCCATCCTCAGTCAGCAGTGGGATGGCCAGACAGCTCCCCATAACCCTCCCCATCCTCAGTCAGCAGTGGGATGGCCAGACAGCTCCCCATAACCCTCCCCATCCTCAGTCAGCAGTGGGATGGCCAGACAGCTCCCCATAACCCTCCCCATCCTCAGTCAGCAGTGGGATGGCCAGACAGCTCCCCATAACCCTCCCCATCCTCAGTCAGCAGTGGGATGGCCAGACAGCTCCCCATAACCCTCCCCGTCCTCAGTCAGCAGTGGGATGGCCAGACAGCTCCCCATAACCCTCCCCGTCCTCAGTCAGCAGTGGGATGGCCAGGACAGCTCCCCATAACCCTCCCCGTCCTCAGTCAGCAGTGGGATGGCCAGACAGCTCCCCATAACCCTCCCCGTCCTCAGTCAGCAGTGGGATGGCCAGACAGCTCCCCATAACCCTCCCCATCCTCAGTCAGCAGTGGGATGGCCAGACAGCTCCCCATAACCCTCCCCATCCTCAGTCAGCAGTGGGATGGCCAGACAGCTCCCCATAACCCTCCCCATCCTCAGTCAGCAGTGGGATGGCCAGACAGCTCCCCATAACCCTCCCCATCCTCAGTCAGCAGTGGGATGGCCAGACAGCTCCCTGAAGGCCACAGAGACAGGGGCAGTCTAACTCTCATTAGCCAGCATTTGAATCAGAAACACGTTCAACCACGTGGCCAAAGCCAATGGGACATGTTTAAACATCTCCCCCTCATTCTTCTCCTGCACCTCCTCCACTTAAGCCAAGACCAGTTTCCTCCCTACAGTAAGTACCAGCTGAAGTTCCTAAACCAGCAGAGGCAGACTCCTTTAAGACTCTTCCTAATGCAGAGACACGCGCAGGACCTCACCTTAGCACTGACTAGAGACCAACCTAATGGAACAACTAGCCAACCACCAGCATTGCATCCATACAGAGCCTCCATTCACCACTCACCATAACAGCATATACCATGTCTATACAGACTTACCATACACCACCATCTATCAGACCTACCATACACCACCATCTATCAGACCTACCATACACCACCATCTATCAGACCTACCATACACCACCATCTATCAGACCTACCATACACCACCATCTATACAGACCTACCATACACCACCATCTATACAGACCTACCATACACCACCATCTATCAGACCTACCATACACCACCATCTATCAGACTTACCATACACCACCATCTATCAGACCTACCATACACCACCATCTATCAGACCTACCATACACCACCATCTATACAGACCTACCATACACCACCATCTATACAGACCTACCATACACCACCATCTATCAGACCTACCATACACCACCATCTATCAGACCTACCATACACCACCATCTATCAGACCTACCATACACCACCATCTATCAGACCTACCATACACCACCATCTATACAGACCTACCATACACCACCATCTATACAGACCTACCATACACCACCATCTATCAGACTTACCATACACCACCATCTATCAGACCTACCATACACCACCATCTATCAGACCTACCATACACCACCATCTATCAGACTTACCATACACCACCATCTATCAGACCTACCATTCACCACCATCTATACAGACCTACCATACACCACCATCTATACATACCTACCATTCACCACCATGTATACAGACCTACCATTCACCACCATCTATATAGACCTACCATTCACCACCATCTATCAGACCTACCATACACCACCATCTATATAGACCTACCATTCACCACCATGTATACAGACCTACCATTCACCACCATCTATATAGACCTACCATACACCACCATCTATACAGACCTACCATACACCACCATCTATACAGACCTACCATTCACCACCATCTATACAGACCTACCATACACCACCATCTATCAGACCTACCATACACCACCATCTATACAGACCTACCATACACCACCATCTATACAGACCTACCATTCACCACCATCTATACAGACCTACCATACACCACCATCTATCAGACCTACCATTCACCACCATCTATACAGACCTACCATACACCACCATCTATCAGACTTACCATACACCACCATCTATACAGACCTACCATTCACCACCATGTATACAGACCTACCATTCACCACCATCTATATAGACCTACCATTCACCACCATCTATACATACCTACCATTCACCACCATCTACATAGACCTACCATTCACCTCCATCCACACAGGGCCACCCTGCACTCCCACCCATCACCTTAATAGAGAGAGATAATTAACTTCCACTAGACCGTCAGCCAGCCACTCCTGTCAGAGCCACAACAACACCAGACCGTCAGCCAGCCACTCCTGTCAGAGCCACAACAACACCAGACCGTCAGCCAGCCACTCCTGTCAGAGCCACAACAACACCAGACCGTCAGCCAGCCACTCCTGTCAGAGTCTCAACAACACCAGACCGTCAGTCAGCCACTCCTGTCAGAGTCTCAACAACACCAGACCGTCAGTCAGCCACTCCTGTCAGAGTCTCAACAACACCAGACCGTCAGCCAGCCACTCCTGTCAGAGCCACAACAACACCAGACCGTCAGCCAGCCACTCCTGTCAGAGTCTCAACAACACCAGACCGTCAGTCAGCCACTCCTGTCAGAGCCACAACAAGTCAGTATGTTACTCCTGTCAGAGTCTCAGAAGAGAATCACAGTGCTTCATCAGTCACAGGCTTAGAACAGGGTCAGTGCAGGTCTGCTACACCTGTCAAAGCCTTTGTATAAAACTATTCACAGCAGCATCACTAGTTCAATCTGATAATCTTGCTTTAGTTAAGAGTCAGCATGCCAAACCACCCACATCCCCAGTACAGAGCATTTCCTCCGAAACATCAGTACATGGGCAGTCTGCTGCACCCAAAACGTCTTCCACACCAAGCCAATATCCTGCTGACACTGACTGGCCCGTCATCAGACCATTCCCACTCTCTAGGCAGGATATGATGTCAGAACCTCCGATAAAAAGGCAGAATATGAAATCAGAGAGACAGGATGTGACATCAGAGCCTCAGAGAGACAGGAAGTGACGTCAGCGCCTCAGAAAAACAGGATATGAATATCAGAGCCTCAGATGGCGAGACAGGACATGACATCAGAGCCTCAGATGGTGAGACAGGACACGACATCCGAGCCTCAGATGGCGAGACAGGACATGACATCAGAGCCTCAGATGGCGAGACAGGACATGACATCAGAGCCTCAGATGGCGAAACAGGACATGACATCAGAGCCTCAGATGGCGAGACAGGACATGACATCAGAGCCTCAGATGGCGAGACAGGACATGACATCAGAGCCTCAGATGGCGAGACAGGACACAACATCAGAGCCTCAGATGGCGAGACAGGACACGACATCAGAGCCTCAGATGGCGAGACAGGACACGACATCAGAGCCTCAGATGGCGAGACAGGACATGACATCAGAGCCTCAGATGGCGAGACAGGACATGACATCAGAGCCTCAGATTGCGAGACAGGACATGACATCAGAGCCTCAGATGGCGAGACAGGACATGACATCAGAGCCTCAGATGGCGAGACAGGACATGACATCAGAGCCTCAGATGGCGAGACAGGACATGACATCAGAGCCTCAGATGGCGAGACAGGACACGACATCAGAGCCTCAGATGGCGAGACAGGACATGACATCAGAGCCTCAGATTGCGAGACAGGACACGACATCAGAGCCTCAGATGGCGAGACAGGACACAACATCAGAGCCTCAGATGGCGAGACAGGACATGACATCAGAGGGAAGAGCTCCAGCTCTGGTGTTCTGTCACTGAAACACAGAGGACAGTAGATGATGTGACACAGGGGAGGACAGTAAAGCACGAGACACAGGAAGTAATTGAAACACAGGAGAGGTCATTAAAGGATGCGACACAGTGTAGGGGGACCTTAAAGGATGTGACACAGGAAGTAACTGGATCTCCGAGTCAGATGGGCCCAGTAGAGCCTTCATCATTGTCGTGTCGCGTCGGCTGCCGGTGGCTATTGCTGTCAAACAAAGAAGTCCGCTTAAGCTGTACCTTGATTAGAAGTCTTTATTCATTATCACAAGCTTACAGCATAAGTTTACAGACTCGCGAGGTCTGGAGAGCAGTGTCCTCCAATTCTAATGGCTGCTCTGCCCTTTCTGTGTCTAGCCCCTATTTATAAACAATGCAAAAAGATGGGTGGCTCCCTCTTCTGGCCAATCACCAGTCTCCCCTGTCTACAACACTCTTCCTGTCTGTTGTATGTGGCGTTACACTAAAACATTCCCTCTTGATACTAAAATCAACATTCTTTCAGTTCCACTTAAAAACATTTAACAACAGCATAATCCCAATACACGACATCATCACAACATGAGAACAACAGAAGTTTCTCTGGTGATGAAGAGTTTCAGCATGTTGTCATGACCAGGACCAGCCCCCAGACACTCTGTCTGATCCTCTTACTGAGACTGAGACATCACAGATGATGGAAGCGGCTCCTCTAACCAACACACAGCAGCAACTGGTTGTGTTTCACCTGACCCAGGATTATCTCCTCAGAACCACCCAGACACCAACACCGTCCTGGAGACCTCAGGACTTCCTTTCCAGAACCACCCAGACACCAACACCGTCCTGGAGACTTCAGGACTTCCTTTCCAGAACCACCCAGACACCAACACCGTCCTGGAGACTTCAGGACTTCCTTTCCAGAACCACCCAGACACCAACAACATCCTAGAGACTTCAGGACTTCCTTTCCAGAACCACCCAGACACCAACAACATCCTAGAGACTTCAGGACTTCCTTTCCAGAACCACCCAGACACCAACAACATCCTAGAGACTTCAGGACTTCCTTTCCAGAACCACCCAGACACCAACAACATCCTAGAGACTTCAGGATTATCTCCCCAGATCCACCTAGACTCTATCAACATGCCTGAGAACCGGGGAAACCAGTCTAGAACTCCCCAGAACCACACAGGCTCCAGCTATGCCACAGAACCACATAGACGATGTCAACATGACTCCAACTCTGCCTCCGAACCGGGGAAAACCCAGTCTAGAACTCCCCAGAACCACACAGGCTCCAGCTATGCCACAGAACCACATAGACGATGTCAACATGACTCCAACTCTGCCTCCGAACCGGGGAAACCCAGTCTAGAACTCCCCAGAACCACACAGGCTCCAGCTATGCCACAGAACCACATAGACGATGTCAACATGACTCCAGCTCTGCCTCCGAACCGGGGAAACCCAGTCTAGAACTCCCCAGAACCACACAGGCTCCAGCTATGCCACAGAACCACATAGACAATGTCAACATGACTCCAGCTCTGCCTCCGAACCGGGGAAACCCAGTCTAGAACTCCCCAGAACCACACAGGCTCCAGCTATGCCACAGAACCACATAGACGATGTCAACATGACTCCAGCTCTGCCTCCGAACCGGGGAAACCCAGTCTAGAACTCTCCAGAACCACACAGACATCAACACTGTCAAAGAGACTCTGCTTCAGAACCACACAGACTCGCTGTGTATGGTTTGGTACAGACCGTGACTTCAGGATACCTTCCCCAGAGCCACACAGACACCAACACAGTCACAATGCTGCATCAGAACCACAAGGTCACTTATCAATGTGACTCCAGTGACTCCAGCTATGCCTCGGAGAACACAAGTCACAGTGACTCCTGGATACGCTCCAAAGAACCACACAGACACTATCAATGTGACTCCAGTTAGTCTATCTCTGTCTCAGAGAACACCAGGTGGTGCTGGTGGCTCTCTGGGAAGTGTGGAACCAGCCAGGAGACAGATGGAGACAGGAGAAGAACAAGGCCTCCCTCTGCGCCTCCCTCTGTGCCTCCTCTCCCGAGGAGCACCTCCTCCTTTCTCCGGAGAGGACAGTCAGTGAAGGAGTCAGCCTCTCCCATCAGGTCTGGACTGACCGGGACCTTGGTACTGCTGAGAAGAAGGTTGTCTTCCTCCCTAGCAAGACGGCTTCATCTCCCCACAACCATGTCTGGGACAGTCCTGGAGAACCTTACCCACCTGCACCGCTGGTCTTTCCTGGTCTCCTACCTGGAGCACCCAACTGACCTGCAGCCGACCACAGTCCCACAGCAGGTAACACCTCTCATTAACATGTATTGGTTCATATTCTAACACTGACTCTTGGTGAAGTCAAAAAATTAATTTAGTAAAATGCTCAAAACGGAATTGTATGAACCAGTTGAGTATCATGAAAGCTGTGGAATATTTCAGTATGTTTCTTTTGTCTCCACAAGGTGGCAGAAGGCGATCATAGTTCCTTTGTACCAGTTGACTGGAAACGTCAAGCATAGCTTGTTGAACTCTTAACATGGGTTTAGCCTTGATGCCTTGTGCTCTGTCTAACTCTACGTTTTAGGATGGTTGTTATAGTTTACACTTAAACAGCAACAACCCTGCTACTGTCACATCCTTTAAGACAGTCAGCTTAGCATCAGTCCTAGTGTCCCAAATGGCACCTTAATCCCTATGTAGTTGACCAGGCCCTGGTCAAAAGTAGTGCACTACACAGGGAACAGAGTGCCATTTGTGACACAGACATCGAACCTGGGGCTTCACAGTCAGGTTAACCTCTGACCCCTTAGTGGAGCAGGGGTTTGTGTGAGATGATACCTCAGGGTTGATCCTAGTAGAGGACTTTTAGTTTGAAATCTGATCCTCTGGCTTCATTGCGCGGACAGGGTAGAAGAGGAGGTTTATGATCAACAACTCATGGTGTGATTGTAGGCATGTACAAACCCTTCAGAGTTTCTACGTTCCCCTGACCTGGAATCACGATCAAATGCAGACCCCATTATCTCCCGAGAGAATTCACGGCTGTTTGTATCACTGCTGTGTACATCCACCCACAAGCCGACACCGCGCTGGCCCTCAAAGAATTACACGGGACTTTGAACAAATTGGAAACAGCATATCCCAATGCTTCGTTCATTGTAGCCCTTTTCATTCAATGTAGCCCTTTCCTGCAGTCAAATGACCAAATCGCCCTCTAGTGGCCTCATGGGTGGAACGTTATTAATATTTTTCATAATTTCATAATTAATAAAAATACAAATCAAATAAAACAGAGAAAATCCTGTGTTTTTATGTCAAAAGGTTTTGTTATATTTCAGTCTTCTGTGATGTATATAAAGTGTAATATTGGAATGCAAACTCAACATTTGAATACATTTCAACTCTATATCTTAGGTGTCTTCTTTTGTTAAGCCCATAACCATGTGTGTGAGGTGTATACTTTTGTTTCAAAGTAGATTTGTTTAAAGACTACCAAGAAACACTCTGTGTGACCCTGATTTAGGCCACTGCAGTAAAAGGTTAAGAAAAATTATCCCGAAATTCCACCAACACATCTCTTGCCTTCACTCGCAGGAATAAAATACATTGGTTCATTGTTATTCGCCATTTTAATAAGGACACAAAGCCCTCCATCTCCTCCCTTGGCAAATTAGACCACGACTCCATTCTGCTCATGCCCGCCTATAGGCAGGAATTAAAACAGGAAGCACCCGTGTTTAGGTCTGTCCAATGCTGGTCTGACCAATCGGAATCCATTCTACAGGACTGTTTTGATCATTGCGGACTGGGATATGTTCTGCGGATTACGGGCTCCCGATCTCTGTAGTTGACTTGTGTAGAACCTTCAAGCGTGTCAACCCTCGCAAGGCCGATGGCTCGGATGGCATCCCAAGCCAAGTCCTCAGAGCATGCAGCTGGCTGAAGGGTTTATTTACATTTTCAACCTCTCCCTATCCCAGTCTGTCTTCCCCACATTCTTCAAGATGTCCACCATTGTTCCTGTACCCAAGCAAGCCAAGGTAACTGAACTAAATGACTGTCGCCCCGTAGCACTCACTTCTGTCATGATGAAGTGCTTTGAAAGTCAAGGACCATATCACCGACACCCTACCCGACACCCTTGACCCTTGACCCACTACGATTTCCATACCACCCCAACAGATCCACAGATCACGCAATCGCCGTTGCACTGGACAAGATGAATAACTGTGTG